GGGACTGCAACAGCTGCACTAACAAATGGAACAGGGACAGCAACCCAAACCAAGGAGAGAACAAATCTTACCATCTCCCTCTATCACGTGGCTGCAGTTGTAGCAGACATCTCCAAAGAGCTGCACAGCAAAAGAAATAAGAACAGGAACTCGTGTTACTGACTACTCATGGTCCCCAAATTACACAGCTGGTGTGAACATTAAATCCTAACAATCAAAGAATTCCAAGCCACAGCAGCACCCAGATACACCAATTTAAATCTTCTGAATAACTTCTCATACACTTGCCAAACAGTTTATGTTCCTTTGGATCTCATACCACTAAATACTACAAAACCTTTTTTGTTGATGCCTCACACTCTACCACTGTTATGTTATCTTAAACTCCTGAACATGTGGCAATTTGGAGAAAAAACGATCAGTAGACTATGATACTTACTGTAGACAAACATCTCCTGTTGCTCAACTACAATCATCAAAGTAAAACCTTGAGCTACTTTGAAAACAGTAACACTTTTATAAGAGACTAATTTATCTGACAGAAGAAAACACCAAACTCATAGCTGTTCAGTAGAGTCATACAGAAAAACTAGGATTTGATTGGCTTTTGAAACATACTACTCTTACGCTTTAGACAGCACGACTATCTTAGGCCTGTGGAAGCAAGTAATTATCAAAGAAGACCACACAGATAGTTTTGGAATAGACTTACAGGGATTTTAATCACAAAGCACAGCCAGTGTTTTCATTCTGTCAATTGCACAAAGAAAAATTAACATGCCCAAAATATTTCTATTCTGTTCTCAGCATCACTTTTCACATCTATCAAGAAAAACTACTTTTTCTGTTAAATCTCAACTTCTTAATATTGCATTGCCTCTACAAATTCAGATTATGCAAAATCTGCAGAGCTTTGCATATGTAAAACGCAAAAAAGCATTTACTAGTCAGAACAAGTACCTACAGGATAGATGGCAGACTTTACCTGGTTATAGTGAGTTTCACAATAAGCCAGTCCTTTTTTCTCGTAGTGTCGGTGACCCAAGAATGGTTTCTCACATTTGGCACAAACAAAATGCTGTAATATAAAAAAAGACATTCAGCAGCAGGCAAAGCAACTGTTCCATCACCAGGGAAAAAACTGCATGGCTACAAATCATGGCTCAATATGAGGCACTTAAATCACAGAATCACAGACTGGTTTGGGTTGGAAAGGACCTTTAAGCTCATCCAGTTCCAATCCCCTGCCATGGGCAGGGACACCTTCCACTAGAGCAGGTTGTTCCAAGCCCCTGTGTCCAACCTGGCCTTGAACACTGCCAGGGATGGGGCAGCCACAGCTTCTCTGGGCACCCTGTGCCAATGTTTCACCACACTCATAATGAAGAATTTCTAGTATCTCATCTAAATCTACACTGTTTCAGTTTAAAACTATTAACACTTAATGCTCAGACAAGAAAACCTTTACAGAAGCAAAAGAAAAGAGGAAATATTTAGTCTACTATAGCAATTAAGAACTGTATTAAAGATAGGCAAAAGACCTGCTGAAAGGGCAATCATTGTGTGTCTTTACTAATAGACTTATGGACCATTATCTTGTTTAATTCAGAGAGGAGAAACAGGAATATAAAACATGGCTGGTATGAATGTACTTCAAATCAGCAGCATCTCAGTTCAAGCCCTAGGAGGCTTAAATCACTGAAAACATACATCACTAAAAAACTTCAGAACAAGCTATGACAACTCAGCTGAAAAGTTACAGAGAGAACGAGCTGAAAAGGCTTAAAAAGCAGGAATTCCACTGGCTCTGCCTACATTACAAATTTTAACACTGTTATGAACCTGTTAACTGAGGTTGGAGAGGATATATCCAAGTACATCATAGTAAATAGGTAAATTTATCAGTACGTGAAGGCTGGCGTATTGGGTTTGCATGGCCAGGTTTTGGTAGTGGGGGGGCTACAGAGGTGGCTTCTCTTCCAAAATGTCTCCTGAAGGAAATTTCAGATTCAGAGGGGGCTCACCTCAACATGCCATTGCTTTCCCAGGGCATTCACCACTCGTCCCTCAATGGGCCTGCGGCAGGCTCCACAGATGGGGATTCCCATCTTGTCATGGCAGGGCAGGCAATACAGTTCTCCCTTCAGTTCCCGGGCCTCAGCAGTCAGCTCCTTCCTGAAAACACAAACATGGCACTGAAGTAAGAACACCAAGCAAAGCTCTTTAATGTGCAATATGAAGTTTTGGAAGACTAAACGTGAAAGCTAACCCTAACCCATGAAAATATTCATGCTACAAATGTAAACACAGTAAATTAAGGCACTGAAACACAGTTATTGTCAATTCATCTTTCTAAAATTGTTTTCTCAGTTTGCCAGACAAGAACATGCATGGAATATCGTGTCTTCAGGCAGATATTCTGGCAGAAATGTGAGGTGCACTTACATGGAACAATGATATGTCATGCAAAGACTCAAGTGAATGGGATAGCTCAGGTCCAAGGACCATCCTAGTCATACTCAGCACTGAGCCATTTACTTTATTCTTCAGCACTGTTAGCCAATGAGGGCAGTACTGTGCTCCAACTATACTGCCTTCATGGTAAGTAATTTAGGTCTGACAGGTATCAGCATGGTAATGGACTATGCCAGAAGACTGACACAGGTCACCAAGTCATCTTTTTTTTTCTACACAGGAATGCAAAATTAAACTATTTTGAATAGCCTGGCAACAGCTGCCTCTGCACAACATTATTATTATTGCAATCTGCACACAGCCTTGGTAAGTTCGTACAAACGAACTATTTCCATTTTCAGTAGAAAACAGCATCATTCAAGTTTAAGATAAAAGAACACTGAATGGCAGAATAAAACTGAAGTCCCTGTAGGCTTTCCAAATTTCTTTTGATTTCTCCTCACAGAATTTCTGTTTGTTCAACAATGTGAAGCAGCTAAGTTTAGGACTTGGAAAGGACTTCACTGTTCGACTGTACTGTTTGTCTCTCTTCTTTTTAGTCAGAGTTTAGATTATGAGAACATACCCACAGTGGGTGCAGTTGAAGTGATCCGGATGGTAGGAATCATTCCTGAACATCAGTGGCTGCTCTTCAATTATCAGGTGGCACTTCTGACAGATGTACTTGCCCAGCCCCTTAGCTTTTTCACGGTTGTGGCACGGTCTGCACAGATGCCTGGTTGAAAGAAAGGAAAATACTTTTTCCTAAAACAGCATAGAGTGCATGCTGTAGGATGTACTTCACATAACAGGAGTGTCTTCTTAGGTCAGACTAAACATAGTTTAGTTTAGTATCGTGTCATTTACACCAGTTGTACAGAAAAGAGTATGTGGATGGAACAGTCACAGAGTTGTATTTCCTTAGAATACTCCTCCAACATTCTCTGATTTCTATCCCATCAGGAATATCAGGCTGTCATTCTTCTAGGTATCCTTTCCAGTTCTTCTATACCTTTTTTGACAGGTGAGCAAGGAAAGGTGGCAACACCCTCTCTCCTCTACTAACTATGGGGTCCAGCCATAACATAGCCATTACAACACCGGTAGAGAGTTGAGGAGAGAGAATAAAAAATATTAAACCAGAACACATTACTTGAATGCCTTTACCATAGCTGGATTCCTTAGTCTTCAATAGCTAGGACAAATAAGAGACCACTGACTATGAGCTCTTCTCCCTACAAATTCATTTTATTCCTAAGTTATAGAAAATAAGGAACTGATTGCAGTTTTATGCAGTAAATGTAACTGTGTTCTATCTCATGTTCTAGAACATATTACAAGAGCAATTTCGAACAGGTAGATAAGCCAAATTTCTGGTAGAAAAGCCTGGGCAAAGCATAAAAAAACTGTACAGGCTAATGGAATCCACCAGTTTTATCCCAATATTTAGGAGCTCTGAGGAGAAGCTGTTCAGTTCACTTGCCTGTTACCTGCCTCTCTAGCTGCAACACTGCAGGGTGGGAAGAACTGATGATAAAATGAAAATGAAAGAGGAATGACTTCTGTGGGGTTCTTTGTCACAAAACAGACAAGCCTGCTTAATTCCTTTCAGTGTATCGCTATGTGAAACACTCAGAGATTTACAGGTCATTCTCAAAAGACACCAGACAAAAGGGAAAGTTCAAATGGAAAGGGTAGATTTATGGCCGATGTAGTGGGATCTTTGCAGGGCCCCTTCCAAAATTCTGCTGTGATGAATCACATACCCTTAGATCTGTAAGATGAGGACATGAATACAACACAGATGTTGTTGTGAGACCTCAAACATTTATGACCCTCAGCTGGCAGGCGCCTGTCTAAGTGCTAAGTATCATTATTATTCTCTACAAATCTGAGTCCTCCTGTCAGCGAGAGTCTCTCTCCAGGGCTGGAACTACTGTCTGCCCAGACGGAGTCCAGCAAAAGCAGACAGCACCCCATTATAAGCAAACATGCAGCTGTGCTCATCTCAGCATAAAGGCATCAATTTTATCCGGCACTGTCAAATGCACAGTAATTATACAGGGCAGGACATAGGGACCCTGAAGCAAGTGTCCTGAAAGAGACCCCTCTCATTCAGCTCAATAAGATGCCTTCAGCCATTTGCACTGATAAACCATTATCAACCCCTCCCCGCACACAAACCCTCTCTGCTCTCCCATAGACCCTCCTCTATTGCAAGCAAAGGGAAGCGTTGGACAGGCTAAGCTGTTACCATAGCAGCCGCCCCTCTCCCTCTCCCCCTCCCCACTCCCACCATGATGGAATTATCCCATTCTGAAATGTCCTGTTGTGCCTATTAATACCAGACTTCTCTCAAACAATGCTACTCTCCACCCTCCTAAAATAATCAGGGGACTCCAAGAAGTCTGTGTTCACGGCTGGGAGCCCAGTAGCAGCCTTTAGTAGCACCATGAACACTGGAATATTCATACAGTATATTCATATCTATAACAGCAGCAGCAACCCCAGTGCCAAGAACTCAGCTGGGATGAAGACTGCTCTTCAGTGCTGGGGCATCCTCTCCCCTACTCCGTTGTGTGACTGAGCTGATAATGCACTATCAGAGCTAGAAGGACGCTATATAGAGGGGCTCCCCTCTCCACCCTCAGCAACTCTGCAACTGTATGCTCATTTGGGATCATCCTGTTTCACGGTTGCTGCTTCTATTTGGTTTGCTGTCATCAGGAGTTCCTTCAGCTTTTCCCCAAAAGGACCCTATACTTCACCCATAGGACTGCACTGTAAAGAGGTAAGAGACAAACTTCTGTCAGCAGAATAATGAGAGAGTTTTCCTAATAGCATTAGTTTTAGCTGATATCAGTGAGATGAAAAGACAGACACAGAGGTGGATATTGGAAAGGTCTGAAACTAAGAACTGGCAACATTTTTTGAACTTCACAGAATAATTTCCTCACTCTTCTTTACAGAACTGCTCCAAAATATAAAAGGTGCTTTTTTTTTGAGGTACTTCTGTACCTAAGGTACATCCATTTGTGCCAGGAAAGCTCACAGTTTTATGGTATGTCCAGTGCTTTCTGACATTGCTTTGATGCTCAACAAGAAACAAGCATTTCAGCTGAATGGTGGGAGGCTCAGCAGAAAGTGATTTTTCAGGAGAATAATTTTGGTCAGAAGTAGACTATTTCTAACGAGTACTTCCAGTGAAAGACATTTGACAAAGACACTATAACCATAATCATAATATAATGCAAAATAATAATAAACCCCCACAAACTAGCATAATCCCAATCCAGAAACTGCTCGTGCTAAGAGCAAGTACAGGAATTTCTGACATCCACTACAAACCCTAACACACAGTTCAAATTTATCTGCAGTGGGCATTATACCAGAAACTCCAGACCAGCCAGGTAACTAACTTATGATGAGCTAAATATTTATTCTGCCTTATTAATTGTTTCATTAATGATAGAGCATCTGCTGAAAGAGTAATCAGATTGTGTCTGTACTGACAGCCTTGTGGATTGTTATCTTGCTGGTTTCTGAGCAGAAGAGAAACAGGGCATAAAATATGGTCATGTCAAATGAGCAGCAACATCCCCATTACAGCTCAGCCCTGGGAGGCCTGGGATAATGGCTCATTCCAGAACAGTGCTCTGTTTAGCAATACGTAAATCACTAAATATTCACAGAACACCAAGAGAGCAATCCAAGTGGAAATTATTTGACAGTGAGCCAGACCCCTAGAGGAGTTTTCTGTCTGTGGAGTCAAAGCATCTTGCACCATAGAATGTGTAGTTTGTGCTAAGCTATAAGTCATTTGGTAAGGTTTCTAGTTTGCTCTCAGCATTCATACAGACTAGTACAAAAAGCTTTCTAAGACTTTGAGTGCTTTTTCGTAAGCATAACAAACCAAAAAGAAAGAAAAAAACTAAACATTAAACACATGTCTTTTAAATTGATAGGATAAAACAAGGCAAAACAGAAATGGAACTGTAAATAACAGCAAGGGACTTTCCACACTGTCTACAGAACACAGTTGAAGAACTACTACTTTTTGTAAAGTTGTAGCATTTTGTTGAAAACATACCAATTCTAAAATTAAACTCTGTGACATGTCGGCTTTTATCCCACTTGAGTGCTAAACCACAATTTTCATGTTAACAAACAGAATTGTAAATAAAAAACAAACCAAAACCCCCTTGATTAAAATTCCCTTCTAATTTAAAACCTAAGCAAAATTAAAGAGATGGCCACTTCCGTTTTCTTTGATTTCTGACCAGGCTATGAAAAATACCTCCCTTCACCTTGGTCTTAAAAAGTTAGTCAGGTAACAGCAGCTCTCCTATGAGATAAAAGATTATTAATTGAAAAGACTGAATCTATTTCAAGTTTATAATGATAAAGCCTCTCCCTTCCCGATACCGACATACTGGGCTCCTACATAGCTCCAATGTTCTCCATTCTACTCCACCTCACAGTATTTTGCAGTGGAACCATGTCCAGATAGGCATCAATGGCAGACTCAATGCTGCCATCAGTGGGGACAGAACTCTCAGCTTTTAAGTCTTAGCTATTCCAAGTCTGGCGCTGACATTCAGCTGAATCTGAATCCCAAAAGATCCTCCTTATGAAATCAGAATCAGTTCAATGTATCATGCTGCTAACCCCTAGTATTTAGCTTGTAAACAGGGAAAAAGTCTGCTTACTGCTTCACTTTTCTGAACAGATTTAAATCATTACCCTTAAGACAAGACACATCCCTATTTGTTCCATTAGACAACCCTTGCTTCTGCCTTTTCAGCTGGTCCAAGCCAGCATTTACTGCTTTCTCAGTGGTGTCACAATCATGTATAGAGTATTGCTTAGCCATCAGACCGCCGAGCACTGACAAGTGTATATGTGTCACCTGATTTCATTTTTCACAGATGAAAAGCAAATACAAATGAAGTGCCTGACACAAAGAGAAAGGCTACACAGTCAGAACATCAGGTGAGAGGTACCACTGTAAATTAACAGCCAGTAAAAAGGCATGGTCTCGTCGTATTTCTCCTTTGGTATGCAAGACAAAAATATATATTTGAAGTAATTCCATCCAGGGAGGACAAGTATTTGAGTATGTGATACACATACTATCACACACTTATTTTTTATTACTATCATATACAAACTTCAAAGTCTTGTGTTCAAAAACACTTGCATGTTTTACTTCGTAAGGGACAAATAAACACTAGCAACAAAAAACACAGACTTCTCCACAAACCAAGGAAATTCACATGGAAAACTGCAGCAGGGTATTTTCCTTTTGGACATGAAAGCAAGGTTTCACGTGTGTATTTTACAGATAAAATGTTCCCTGGAATAAAGGGCTGTACAGTCTTCCTTGCACATGCACTTCTAGTAATTGTAAGTAATTGTAATAATTTGTTGCCATCTCTAGGAGTACAAAGAAGCATGCAGCTGACAGTAGACACCAAGTACCCATACACTCAAATCTAGAGTCTTTTTGTGCCATAAACATGCAGAGTACCCAGGCAACGTGTGGTGTCAGAAGGACCCTTTGTGGCCATATGAAGACATTTCAGCTTCTGAATTTCATTCAGTCTCCCTTCTCTTGACTTTTGTCTCTTCAACTGTAAACTAAACAGAAGTGGTCCAGCAGATTAATCTCTAGCTATCGTAGTTTTCTGTCCACCTGAAAGTGACAGCAGCCAAACAAAAGATGGCAATTACCTTGGAATTTTGTTTACATTACCCAATATATGGGTTTGTTCTTAATCCCATTTTGTTTTCTCAATTAGCCACCAATATTTTTAGACATCCGAATATCAGTTCATTGGGAAGCTGGACACATTGTGTAATGCCTTGGATCAACTGTCTAACAATGAAACATTTCAGCATATAGCACAGTTTCCGTCCAAGACTGATAATTTTACCTAACAATGTCAGGAATCTCTTAAAATTTTATCTCTGTAGAGAAAAATGGATATATTTAAAGATGTATTGAATATCATGGAGAAATGGTCAACCAGTACAAAATGCAATGGTGAGCACAACTGAAGTGTTGTAACTCACAGAGGTGTTAAATACTGTAATCTCTGAGGAATCCAAGAAACAGAGACAATGCTGGAAACTCAGACTGCCTGCATTTCCCCACCACCTATACCTACAGATGAGAAGCGTATAAAAAGCCACGGGTAGGTGCCCAGAAACTCTTATCACTTTTTGTTAATGCTATTCAGGACCCTGCAGACAACAGAAAGACTGTCCAAGATAAGCTCAGTTTTACTGAGCTGCTACTTGGAAAAGGCCCTCAATAAGCTACAGTGGAGTTCAGGCTTTTGAGGGAGGAAGAGAGGAGTTACGCTGGGAGAAGCAGCAGCTGCAGTGAAGAATGATATTTCGACAAGTAACCAACAGCATGAGCGTTACTAATAATCTTTCCTGAGTCAATTCAGTGCTTTTTGCTGTTCAAATGAGATGCTACTACTCATCTAAAAAGTTTCTTCCTGTATTAGAACTAGATGCATTGCTTCAAATACAGGTCTTCAGAGCAAATAATTATCAAAGATTTTCAGGAATCCTGCAGGCTTTTTTTAACAAAAGCAATATCTGACCTGTCTTCCAAATCTTCTAGGAGCAAGACAGATATTCTAAGCTAGGTCACCTTACAGCAGATACCTGTGCTCAGAAAAGCTGACTCATTAGGAGCTCTTCAGTCCTGAATCAAGCTTTCAAATCAGACATAGCAAATACTTTCTAGCTAGACATACAGAACCCACTTCCAGACTTCCATTAACCAGACATATAAGCATCGCACTACTTTGTTATTCAACTCATCTCAGCACAAGTTGGAGACAAGCTCATGATCAGACAGTGGAGATCTGTAGTGGTTCCTTCAACAGGAATTGAGGGTCTGTAAACCCCACCTAAGCAGGAGGTATTCAGAATTGTAACACAAGGTTTTAAACTCAGACTGACCTGTCATATGAAATACCCATATTAGCAAACAATAGACATCATTTATTTCCATGTGTGGTTTTTTGGGGTGTGTTTTGGGGGCTTGTTTTTGTTTTTCTTCACAAAACCAGGCTCTTTTGTAATATACTGTCTCAATTCCTTCAGGGTTTGCTTTTTCCCTTCAAAATTGTTGCGAAAATGAATGGCCCAGCAGATCCCTCGAACCTACTCTTCAATTGCTCAAGCCCATCCAATTTCTCTTTGGAAACCGCAGAGCATTGTGGCAAAGAGACACACCTTGAGAACATCCTTTTTGCCACTTTCTACTTCCTGGACTTCATCCTGGCTTTTGCTGGCAATGCCCTCGCTCTTTGGCTCTTCATCCGGGACCAGAAGTCAGGCACACCTGCCAACATCTTCCTGATGCATCTGGCTGTGGCTGACCTGTCCTTTGTGCTGGTGCTTCCTACCCGGCTGGTGTACCATTTCTCTGGTAATCACTGGCCATTTGGTGAGATCCCATGCAGACTCACTGGCTTCCTTTTTTACCTCAACATGTATGCCAGTATCTACTTTCTGATGTGTATCAGCGTTGATCGCTTCCTAGCCATCGTGCACCCTGTGAAGTCCATCAAGCTCCGCAGGTCTCTTTATGCCCATTTGGCATGTGCCTTCCTATGGGTTATAGTTGGGGTTGCAATGGCACCTCTGCTGCTCAGTGTGCAGACAGCTGAGACGAAAAACACAACTGTCTGCCTACAGCTCTACAGAGAAAAGGCATCACGTCATGCCCTTGTGTCATTAGCAGTGGCATTCACCTTCCCGTTTGTTACTACAGTGACTTGCTACTTATTAATCATTCAAAGCCTGAAGACTGGGAACAGAGTGGAGAAACACCTGAAGGAAAAAGCTATCAAAATGATCATCATGGTGTTGCTGATCTTTCTGATTTGCTTTGTACCTTATCATGTCAATCGTTACATTTACATTCTCCATTACAATGGAACCAAAACTTCCTGTGAAACGCAGCGTATTCTAGCTCTCAGTAACCGCATCACTTCCTGCCTCACAAGTCTAAATGGTGCCTTTGACCCAGTCATGTATTTTTTTGTAGCTGAGAAATTCCGTGAGGCTTTGTGCAATCTGTTTTGTGTTAAAAAGACTGTAACGTTGCCTCAAACATACGAGGGTAAAACAAATGAAAGCTCACTAAGTGCTAAATCTGAACTGTGAACATGACTCTTGTCACTGCTTCAAGTTAAGAATGCTCTATTCCACCAAAACCAGCTGAGAGTACCAATATGCAGTGAGATAGTACACCCAGAGTCAAACTTGTCCTGAGAAGGGAAGTTCTGCTGTTTTTATGGGACTGCAATTAGCAAGAACCACTCTGACAACAGAGATCATGTGTTCTTGTCTTACTGAAACTGCAAACACAAGTAACAGCTCTACTGATTTCCGAGATGTGAAACTGAGGGCTGAACACTTAGAAACAGGTAAGGGAGCAAAGAGGCTATTAAACTGACATATTTAAAACCAAAACAAACTAAACTTAACTCCCAAAGCATTCAGTAACAACTCTTCCTCTGCACAATGCATACAGCCTACTTTAAAATTTTATACTGTGCCAGTAGTAGAGATCCACTTGTGAGACAGACCCGCCTGATGAAAGGACAGGATGCCTGCACATGGTGTTTAAGTCTCTGAATTCAAAGCGTTTATACATCATATGAAGAAGATTGATACTAAATGATGGAAAGAAGAAAAAAAAAAGACCAAAATGCTGCAATGCACCCAACCTGGAGTGGAATTAAGACAGGACTTAGAATTTTTTACTTCTTCCCAGCATTCAGAGCTGGAGTTGAGCACTAAACTTCACACTACCTTTTTTATTTGCCCTCTGGCATTGGCTAAAAGCTGCAGACAGAGGTTGGGCAACATTCAGTATTCTGCCTCTCTTAAGTAGCTCTGGCAAAGCATCAGATATCCTGGTAACCCTCAAAGTAAAGAAATGAAAATTAGGAATACAGCATTCATCTTAACTACATACTGAATCATAAAAATATGAAACCAAATGGAAAAAGTAAATAGTAAGCATATGAAGTCTACTTTGCCCAGAAGAGATTTGTATCTTTAAGATGTTTTACAATTATTTTTGGTGACTTCTCTAGCCAGGCTATTCCTTCACTACAGATAAAGTAGGGATTATCTTAATACTATCCTTACTGATACAAATTGTATCCAGTGGAATATGCCTGGAAATGACAAGCACACTAGGGAAGATCAGGTACAATTTGAAGCAGGAAAAGGAACCTCAGAGTTTCCAATAATATTTCCTAGAAGACAGCTTCTATGCTGTGGAGACAAATATTACAGGAAATCATGTGACAGGCAATTTATATTTTTTATGTGCAGATACATACATTCACATATCTCTTTCCAATGCTTTTGGGAATGAACAACTTACTGTTCTAGATTTGGTCCACAAACTATGAAATCAAATATTCTTTATCTTGTTTGAACTGCTTCAATCCTGGCTGCCTTCCCAAAACACCCTCGGTGCTATCTCAACAGACCATTCTAACAAGCTTAGGTGTCAAAAGAAAATCAGTTACGCTCAACTCCAGAAACTAATGCAAAGAAGTTGCATGAAGGATGGAAGAGAAGAGGGAGTTGAGAGGACTCCCTGCTGGACAGGGTACACGTATATAACCTTTCTTTCCCTTCTTCACCATTCAGCTAGTGTCAATATAATCTCTAGGAAACTACTAGATTTTGCTCAAGACATATGAAAGCCTGAAATTTAACTATGAATTGAGCAACAGTGCCTCCTAACTGCTGGATTGCTTTATTTTCTTATAATGGTATGCTTTTGTACAAGTGCCCTTTAATGTTTTTATTTCTTACTTCTTAATTAAATGAATTAATCAAGCTTTAGTACTCATTTTTGTATTTCCATATATAAAATGAATGATTTCAGAAACAGGGGAACAGGCTTTGCTGTAATCCTCATATTACTCTCTTAGTCTTTTGCTATACCTTGATATCGTGTTCAGCAGCTTACTTGATAAATAGCCTGCCCAGGATCATATAATCCCTTTTTCTCACTTGCTATTTATAGCCTTTTGCCTGAAATCCTTTTTTTTTCCAGAACCCATGCACTATCTAACAAAATTTGAGTTTCTGCATTCTACATGTTTCATTGGATGAAGAACACTATTCTTCCTTCCATTTCCCATCTCCTAAGAGGCTATTCCTTCAAGCTTTTTCTGTACCTTTTCAAGCTTTACGTCTCAGTGTACAACTAACTGACCACCCGCAACATCTCACCACTGTATCAATAACATACTGATAAAGCTTTCAGAGCTCCTGCTCCGTCTTACCTTCCAGCATTCCTCACAAAACCCAGGTCTGCAAGGGCTACATCGCAGAGCTCACAGCGGAAACATTCTGGGTGCCAGTTGTTGTTCATTGCCTTGATAACACGCCCAATAATGAACTCACCTGCCAAAGGAAAGCACACCTTGAGATATATGCAGAAAACAATCTTATTGAAAGTCTACTGCTTTTTATAATCCTTTCACTTTAATTTCACAAGAGCTATTATAGTCTAACTTTGGAAAAAACCAACACAAACCAAAAAACTCACAACCAACCAAACCAACCAACTGTTCCCACAACCAGAATACCCAAATCACTGCTGGTATCTCACTTTTGTTTCCCCCCAGAGCTCCTGCTCCCTAAAATGACCTCTGCAATGGTGGGAGGTTTGCACAGCCCTGTAGCTGTTACCCCATGGTGTTGACATGCACCACATCTTACCACACTCCCCACAGCAAGGAGCAAACAGCATCTGAAAGTCATGTTCACAGTACTTCCGACCTTCAAACTGGGAACAAAACAAGAGAGAAGGAGTCCTCATGAATAACTGAACCACTCTTATGTCTTAACAGTTCAGCATGACTTTCCATTGAAATGACCAAGTCAAGGTCAGTCAAGTTTTACAGTTCTAGCCCCTCACCTGTTCTTAAACTCCTAAGGATTTTCCATAAGGAAACATCCAGATATGTCTTCAGCCTCATGGTGAATTTGTTAAATTAATAGCAATGCTACTGCAAGACAGTAAAAATCCTAAAGTGTCCAAAGCCCTTTTCCTATAGTTGGCTTTAATTTCATCATTTCTTTATTTTTTATTACTCATGTAATTCAGAACTACTTCTACATGAGGCTAAAACTTAAAGCAAACTAAGAATGCAGCCTATTTAAAACAATGTGTTATTCAAAATATGAGCTTGCACATACTCTGTAAAAATATTTCAAACTTGTTATTGAATGGGTCCACCAATTTCAGCTGCCTAACTGAAAAGCTTTGGTACAAAGTGCCTAAAAATAAAGACAAAAAAAAATATCTTTTGTCTTATGAAATATTAAGAAATATTTTCTATTTTCTTTTTGAAATGCCTCTTATCCCAAGAGCAAACACACAGTTTTTGTTGTTACTGATGTGTAGGAAGGAATATGTGAGAAGAAAAAGAAAGGAAATTAGGTCCGAAGCCCTTCCAAAATTAGCAACAAAGCTTTAGGGCTAAGAAATTGAACATGCAAGAAAGATGCAAATTCATAGCTCTGACAGAATTTTCACCTAATTCCTTTTATTTTAATGGAGCTATTTCTCTTCCCTTATACACAGTATGCAACCTCACCTCATAAAAAAGTCCATCTGGGAACTGACGAAAACACTGAGCACAGACAAAGCAGTTTTCATGATAGAGCTCCCCATTGCTGTTGACAATCTTCTCTGCAGGATCAAATCGAGCCTGGCAGCGTTCACATACTGCATTTGCGAGAGCATCAGACATATTACTGGAATAAAGACAAGAGTAAGAACATGAGCAATGTCACAGCCAATCACATGAGTATAATGATATCATCCAAGTTTCCCCAACAACTATGAACACAATTTTTCCACTGCTTTTAACTCCCTTTTACATGAAAAAAGGACCAATGAGTCAATTCAGCACTGACATTGGTTCTAAATAATGTCCTTGCTACTCACACGTGGCAGAATGAGGTCAAGTAGCAGACCTACCTATTGAACACTTTTGGCTGCTTCCCCAGTCTTACACTCCATTATGTCATCCTGCTAGTAGCTCAGAGCAAATATCCACCATTTTAAATAAACCAGGAATTCCAAAAGCAGCAAACACAATGAACCTGACTTCTTGGAATTTCTAGTCTCAGGATGTACACTAACAAGGATTCTCTGATGTGTAATAAATACTGATAACCCCACTGCAGTCTCCCTTTCACTGAAGGAATTAACAGGGCATTTCCCCCTCTACCCAGCAATTTATGTGTACAAGATTCATTACAAAACTAATTGCATACAATGCCTTTGACTTCCTGACAAACTAGTTAAAACTGCCAATGTGTTAAAAAGGTATGGAAAGAGAGAAGTCACTCTGGCTGGCTTGGCAAATGCATCAGCTTCATTTCCCCACAAAGTGAGGCTACAAAACAACCAAGCCACACTCGCAAATCACGTCAAGGTCATTTCCTCTGTTTACCCTAAAATGTGGAATGACCCTAACCTCTTTCACAAAATTTTCATGCTTGCCATCATGCAATCTAAGTTCTCTGTATACGAGCAGAATGCAGCTTTAAAATCATATGCAGATGTCCAAACAGGGAGGGAAAAATTATAAGAAGTCAATTTCTTGTTGCAATGCTATCTTTCTTTTAACCATCAGACTATCCAAAAATACAAAAATTCACTACTGTTACATTTTAAGACACAGGAAAAGAAAAGTAAATTATGCCTTCTGGGCACCTTCTGGATTCTCTCATTAGAAAGACAGCAGTTTTATAACTGGAAGTATAATTTTGAGCATGTTAAAAATCTCAGAAGTATTTGTTTAATAGTTTTCCTGAATCATATAATGTATCTGTAGAATGAAAGATGGCTTGGTTTAAAAGCAGTTTTGCTTTCTGTTTGTATTCAAAGCTACTTTGAACTGAATTTCCATTGTTAGTGCTATTCTACAACCCAACATGCTCCTTTCCACACCTCTTCATACAGAACACTAATACAATAAGCATGTTCCAGTAGCAGAAGATTCTCTTTCCTCTGCTCAGAGACACCCTTGCAAAAACACATCACCGTTTATATCCCAGGGCTCTGTGCTCTGAGCACAGCTAGAATGAGCAGGCAACAGTGCAGGCAGCAGCCTCAT